GTGTAAAAATAAAATAAAGCAAACTTCATTAAAAGAAATTAAAGCTTACGAAAATGAAGAACAATCAAACTTTTTGTCTCTTTTTGCATCACCACAATCTTTCCTCTACAAAGAAATCATAGTTCAATTCAATCTCACACAATACAACTAAAACTCACACACACCTCACTCTCTCTACTTTCTTTTCCATCATCATGCTTTGAGATTTCTCGAATTTTAAATCCCTTCCGGAATGAAGATCAAGTAAATTCAACCATTTAGATCGGTTAAAATATCAAAAACCAGATTTGTGGCAGCAGTATGTGAAGCACTAAGTTTCGTGGCTCTAAACCGTTCAATTAGGGCTCAAGAGTCAGGGCGTAGGGTGGGGTGGGGTGCCGATGGGACACTGAAGCCAAGTACAAAGACGTTAGTGAGCTGGCATTAGGATGGAATTTTGTATGTTTCCCCACATAAAAGGAATATTCAGACACACAAGTGCCATGCGGCGTTGGACTGATTGAACATGCATTAACCAACTTATTGCTTCCAAGTGCTCATGTCCTAGATTTAGATATTTATCCAACATAAATAATACACACACATACACACAAACCCGCTTCAGTGTTTATGTCTTGGAGTGTCGGATTAAATGGTTAGACACATGCAAGCCTGATACTCTGAGGCGGGTTTGTATATATATATATATATATATATATATATATATATTATAAAGGAATGGTCGAAGGATATTATGCAAATCTCGTTCATCTCTCATGCGCCTAATAAATTGAGTACCACACCCTACACTCGGGGGAAATCAAATCCCAAACCAGAGGGGACTTACAACTAACAAGCAAATACCCGACCAACTAATCTGAATATGCGGCGCCACACACACACAGAAGTATATATATATGCACCACACAAAAGTATGAAAATGATACATGGAAGGGTATAATTCACAAATACATATATCACACATTTTGTGCACATCACCACTGACGACCCATATAATGACCAAACATTGTATTCCAGATATGACATTTGCATCTAACACCTATATAGAAGCCCTATGATAACTGCTAGCCTCCATAGCCGCCAACCACCATCATCCATTACCTATTTGCCTTTGTCAACCATAGTCAAGTATCACTACCTACTGCATTTGACAATCAGCCACCGATGATCCTTTTTGCAACTATTTCATTCCAAATACAGCTATTGCAACAAAAATCCATATTGAAGACTGACATTAATCACTAGCCTCTGAAGCCACGGGCCTCCTTTGACCATAACTCGTCAAGCACCAGCAATCACTACCGACCATCACTACTTATCACTGATGACCCCTGTTTGTAACTGTTATTTTTAAAATATGGATGTTGTGTTGAACACATGTATTGAAGACCCCCCCATAAGCCTCTGTAGCCACCAAACACTATCAACCACTATATGTCAGCTATTGACAAACACTGTCGACCATCACAGTCTGTTGTTGCAGACTACCAACCTCAGGCATCTTCTGTTTGCAATTTTTGTAGTCAAACTAAAACATTTGTGGCCATCTACTTCATTTATCGCAATCAATTACAACCTTTATGACTGATTAATACTGCTACAAGTTCAAGTTATGGCTTCTGTGACCAACTACCACTATTGCAGCAACCAAATATGACCTTTGTAGTCAATTACTACTATTATAGTTTCTAAATATAGCCTATACAACTGACTGCCACAATTTCATCCACCAACTACAGTCCTTCTGGCCAACACTACATTTTTAGCAACTAACTATTATTATATCATTTAACTATAGCCTTCGTGGTCAACTGTTATTATTACATCCACTGACAATAGTATTTTTGGCCAACTACTACCCTTGTAGCCACCAAATATGGCTCTTATGGCCAACTACTAGTGTTACAATTTTTAACTACAAACTTTCTGGCCAAGTTACTATAGTTTTGCTTCCAACTACAGCCTCTATGACCAACTACCACAATTGCAACTACTAACTATATCTTTTATGGCCAACTACTTTCTTTGTAGAAATTAACTATGGCTTTTGTGTCCAACTAACATACTTACAGTTTTCAATTATAGCCTCTATGGCTAACTACCATTCTTACAATCACTGGTTGCATCATGTATTATCAACTATTACCTTTATAGCAACTAACTACGATATTTGTGACTAACTATTGTTATTACAACCAAAAAATAATATTTGTTGTAACCTACTTAAATTATGATTATGTATCTATAATTATCAGTTTTGTAATTTCAAACGCGTAAAAATGTGTTATTTTTTATATACATTTTTTGCTCATTTTTAATGATATTGTACATTAAAGAAATGCATTTTGCTTGTTTTTGGTTTAAGATACAAAAGATGGAGTTTTGGACAAAAAGGAGTGAAAAGGGAGCAATTTGGAGTCAAATGGAGCAAAGAAGAAAATTTTAACCGGCGCCTAGGGGCCAGAAACCGACTTGACTCCAGAAATCGATTTTGATGTCTTTTTTATGCTTTTTTTTTTTTTTTTTAATTTATTGCATTTTTTTTTGAATGAGAATGCACTTTAAAGAAATGTTATTCTCATTTTTATCTTGCAGATATAATACTTGGAGCGGATTGGAGTTGAAATGGGGCAAAACAAAGCTAAACGAGAGCAAATGGAGGTGCTTCCAGTAGGACGTCGCCTAGGCTCCAGATATTGGCGCCTAGGAGCCAATCCTTGCACATGAAAAAGAAAAAACGGTGCCTAGGCGCCACTGACTGACGCCTAGGCGCTAGAAACTGCTCGGGGCAGTTGCAGCACGTCTCAAGGAGTTATTTGATTTTGGCATTTCAAAGTCTTGGAATCTCCCGGAATGCCTAGAGGTTGTAGATAGGAGTAGAAAATATAGATTTCTTCATTTTGAAGAGATTAGAGAGGGGATTTTAAGAGATATTTGTAAAGGATTTTATGTGCATTGCATGCATCAGCAAGAGACTTTGTTGGAGGAATTTTCATCTTTCTTTCAGAACGAAAAAAACTAAGTATTATGTTCTTTATTATTTTATAATTATTTTAAACACTTATCTAGTGAATTTGCTTTGATTTAAACGAAATTTCTATTGTGTTTTCTTCATGCTTAGCGAGTAATTTTCCTTATTAATATGAATTAATTCTAGTATTATATTCTCTAAGTATTCTATTTGTTACCTACCTTTTAGATTCCTGAATGCTTGAATTCCTGAAATAAATTTGGAGAAGAGCTATAATTTTTTGGTGGATTGTTTGGATTTTTGCTCTTTGTTTATAGCTATGTTTTACAATTCCGCTTGTGGAGCATTGATGATATCCAACCTTGGAAGCAACTCAACCAGTTATTTATATTTCATTACTACTCGGTTCTGTAATTTCTTGCAGATTTGTCAAATATTACTTTTTTCATATCATTTAACAAGATTTTTGTGCTAATGTATACCAAATAACCTATTCTACTGTCAATCTTCTCTTATATTCAGCTGCAAGATATATGAGTTGCATGCAGCGGTCAATTTTCTCTCATCCCGACATTAATCTGCCCGTCGTCTCCTAATTTGCTAGGTAACTTTAGATACAGTTCGTTTCTCATGTTTCACCATGGAGATCCGAGCTCCTTTTTAATTGTTTCTTGTTTTATTTTAGAGCCTACTAAACCACTTACAACTATAATCTCGTGTTTTTACCCCTAAACTAATTGTTTGAGTTAATGAAAAACTAGTCGGGGCCTCTTAATTTGCCTGGTAAAATTTTTTCCAAAGAAAAAAAAATTCAGCAGGAAGAGCACCAAGAGCAATTCTGACACCACATAATAATTAATAGCCTAAAGGACGCCAGACACACAAATAACCGGTGAAATGCAAAACCAACCAATTTTTTTTCTTTTTAATCTGATATAGACAGGGATTCGAAGCCAAAAAATTGAACTTCATATCAATTACCAATGAATAGCTAGCTCCAGCCTCTATGAACTTTGAAGTCAAGAAACATCAAAAAGAGCATACAAGTAAGCTATACTAGTTCCATTTTGTAAATTCCCACCAGATGTAGCTCTACATGCAAAATCCCAGTAATATATCGTCATGTGTGCTATATCGGGCCCATCTAAAAAAAAATTAAAGTGGAATCATGGACTTTGCAAAAACCCTAAAATAACCTCCTAAGTTCCACTTTGTTAACCCCGAAATAACAATATGGGCGTTATTTTGGGGTAATTTCTTAGTCATTGAAGAAAAACTCATATTTTACACTTCAATAATCCAGAAATAACCTCTCTTATGTTATTTCAGGGTCATTGAAGTGGAACCGCAGAGATTATTTAGGGGTTATTTCTGAATTTTTGAAGTGCAATATATAGGTTTATCTTTAATAACCCTGAAATAACCTCAAAATAACCCCAAAATAACCTCCGCAGTTCCACTTTAATAACCCCGAAATAACCTTCATGATGTAGCACACGTGGCGGATATTATTGGAGTCCGCACGTAGATCTACCTCAGAAGTCCAGACAAAATTTTTTTCCAAATGACATAGGATTTTTTTTTCTTTTAATTTTATTTTTTGTTCAAAAATTTTGTAACCGTTTTTTTTTTCTTTAATACAGAAACTTAAAGAAAATAATAATAAATAAATAATAATAAATAAATAATAAGCTGTATTAAACGATGTTGACACAAAGCCAAGTAAATAGATTCTGCAGCTGCATCTTGTTTGAAGAGTAAAACTAAACTAAGCACCGTTCATCAATAGCATTTCTAGTTTCACGATTGAATGTAGTTAATAAAGCGTTGATCTGGCAAAAAGTCCGCAAGTTTGATGAGACAAACAAGATGATTTAACAACATTAATAACAAAGACGCACTAATATCTCAGTTACTACGAATTTTTTTGAGAAGTAGAAGCCAAAAAACCATCTTCCGATGGTATAATATATATATATAT